GATGGAAAGTGAGCCTGAAAAGGAACCTTCAGAACCATTGGAAGATCTCAAATCTACTACAAGTAATGGAAATGAAGAAGATGAAAGGTTGCAAGTGAAGATACAGGCTTTTGAAGAGAAAATAAATGGAGAGAACAGCCCTCCTGGTTCTGTTAGAAGATATAGTCTAAGCCAAGGTTCAAAGGAAGACAGAAAAGATATGAGATTTAACAGGTAGGATGCCTGTGAGTTTCAGGTTTCCCATCAGTTTTTTCATAAAGATTATCATAAAAATCATTAAAGATTTTTAGCTAATATTTGTGGTTCTCAGAAATTTAATTCCTGAATTACTTGGTGTCTTTCTTAATGATGGTGGTGATAACCACCTACTGGCATCTAAGGTTCATAAAGAGCACTTAGCATGCATTGACTCATTGGAAGGAAAAGAGAAAAGAAAAGAAAATTCAATTTAATCTTTAAAATGAGAGGGTTGAATTAAGTGGGCTCTGGGGTCTCTTCTTGCTCTATGCCTATGATCCTATAATCAGTGGACATTTATTAAGGTCTCTCTATGTGAAGGCACTATCTAAATCCATTAAAAGTATTAAAAATAGAGATGACAACCTATTTTTTTTCAGAGGTGGAAGACTATGGGAATGAGACATTGCATACAATGCCAGACTTTTTTTGATCTATTGGTTACTTTTCCTTAACCATTATGGTGTTGCCTCTTTTTTTTTATTCTTTGTTTTTAAGGGATTATTATCTTGGAGAGGAAAGCTTATGGTGTGCTGGAGTTTCAATAAAATTTTATTTTATTTTTAAATAGAAGTGACAGTATTGGCAATAAAAATTCAAAAGTCTCAATAGATTATCTTTGAGAAGAAAACCCTAAGATTTACATGCATACACATGTACATGTGTATATGCACATATACATATATACATACACGTGTGTATGTGTGGTGTGTTGTGTGTGTGTGTGTGTGTGTGTGTGTGTGTATGTCTCTAATCTTCCATTCATTTATTGTGGTGTAAAAATGACCCTGAGTTAGTGAAAACTATGCCAATAGAGAATGAGTTCCGCAAGGGCTCACCAAGGTGGAACAGCTTAGCTAATGGAGCTGGTAATGGGCTACTATCTTCTCACCAGCCTTAGCTAAGTTAAGGGAGTCTCATCACCAGCTTGGCTATAGGAAGAAATTAACTTAATGGCCCCAGGCACTCTTGAAGCTCAGGTGAGTTGTAGACCCATGGCTATGACCCACATCTGTCGAGGAGCGTTGACACAGATAAAACTACAGATTTGAAAAATGTGGAAATAGTTTGGGACTATTCTTGGCAATACAAGTTAATTTTTACTCTGAATTCTTTGATCTTTGACTTTGACTATACCCCCAGGCTGTTAATGACCTAAATCTTCACAAGTCGGTTTAGTACATTGGAAGATTTTCCTATGCTTCATTTGGTGACTTCATTGATTTACTGAGTGAATCACTTTGAAAGCAACCTTTTGTACAATCTAGGCATTAGGACTCATTCCAGAAACTGCATTCTTGTTACCTTTCTCTCACTTGGCATCCTCTAATGAATCTCTTTTTTTAATCACATTTTAATTTTTCCTTTGTTTACATTATAGGTCAAAAAGTTTAGCTTTGCATGCAGTCCACCTAAACCACACAAATTCAGATGATGAGCAAGATGTTAAGAATGGAGATGTAATGGCCAGCATCTCTTTTTCAGAAATAGATGCACTTAGTCAAGAAAATTACAAGTCATCATTTAAGGCAGATACTGAAGAATCTCAGCTGGAAATCTCTGCAATTTCACACCCAAGTGGTAAATGGACAGAATCCGAGAACTTGCCAGAAGCAGTTAAAGAGAATGGCCATGAAGAAACACCAGAGACTGCACAAAGTCATGTGGAATACCAGGATAACCTCTATTTGCACTTAAAGGAAAATCTCAGCAAAGTGAAAGCATATGTCATGGAAATTAGGAGGAGCATTCCAGTCCCAGATCAGTGCACCATTGAAGGTAAGCATTTGGAACTTCTCAAATTTGCAAAATTTTAGAGGACTTTGGAATCACAATACTGTTGTCATCACATAATCGGTCCTCTTGTCTCTTTTCCGATGTTTGGATGTGGTCTGTTGAAAGCGTTCCCTTATCATTTGCTTAGCTTTTGTTCCATCTTATTCAGAATAGTTCATCTTCCAGTATCCCAAATCAATGCCCAAAAGGCCACAATATTCTCATGATTTTTACCCAAACTTCATAGTTGCCCTTTGATTGATGGTTCATTCAGCAAGTTAGTTCCACAATCATATTCTCCTCTTCAGGCATAGAGGAATGCTAATTATGTCCTATTGCATATATGGAGGAATAACTCACTATCATAATAAGAATAGTAACAATTTTGACATCTTGGGCAAAGTATATAAAACATGACCTCAAATGAACTTTTTAAAAGATATATGCAGTCCAGGAATTGGAGACCCCATGACCCTATCCCTTGGGTTAGAGATAGGAACTGTGTGACTATGTCCCCCAGGCTACATGGGGAAGCCACAGATCAAACTCTAGGAGGATTATAATCTCCTATGGACCAGAAATGCCACTAAGTAACTTCTTATTTTGATTAGTTGTCTGCACTAACCAGTTGCTAACCTGAGCTATTTCAGTGCTGCTGAAAACAGCACCCTTTAAATTTTGGTACTCTGTGTTGAAGCTCTGGTTGCCCTATCCTAGTCCTGGTCTTGATCGTAGCTAGAGGAGGGAATGACCCATGTGTCTACCTAGTCTCGGGAAGTGTTGCCTTTTTCCATGCTCTATGTCCCTATTGTAGTCCTATGATCATAGGGTTCTCCCTATTCAGAACCCCACAGACTCACGGCTGCCACACAACTAGAATATTTGGGCTCTACAGTGATAGATCACTTTCTCTTTTCCTTATATCTGACCATGATCTCTTTCCAAGATTAGCATCCAGCCCTCCTGTTTAACATTTTACCTATCACCAGTTAGAACAAGAAAAAAATACATCCTTACTGTGGCTTCCTCCTGAGCCCACATAGAGAGGAGAGAGCTAAGTAGCCACTCAACAACTCAGGAAGAACATACATTATTGTTTAGCATGACTAAGTGGAATGTTACATTTCCTAAGAACTTTACACCAAATTGTCATAACTATTAAGGTTAGGGGAACAAAAGAAATATTGCTCATTTTTTTAAAGGGAATTTTGGAATAATTTAGCATGTCAGCTTTAGGAAATAGTTAACATAATCAACTTCAATATACAACACACTTTTTAGTGACTGCTAGTTTTCTCAACAACCCATATGTTTCATGCATTGCTAAGGAAGCAAAACTAAAGATGTTAGATGAATTCCTCAAGACTGTACCAAGTGGGAGAACCGGTATAAGACACATAGCTACCTAAATCAGGAGTTCTCAACCTTTTCTGGGTCATGGACCTCTTTGGCGGTCAGTCTAATGAAGCCTTTGAACCCTTTCTCAGTATTGTTTTTAAATACACTAAATTAAATTAAATTTAAAATAAACATAAAAATGTAAAATAAAATAAATACATAAGATAAATAGATTATAAAGGAAATTAAATATATTGAAATACAGATATATATGCATATATACATATAAACATGTATATACATGTATATCTGTGTACACATACATACATATTTAGTTCACATATATAGATAATGTCTATATAGATCTGCATGTAAATATAGATATATTTATGTATACTTATAGAGAGAGATTTATTTATATGCAAGTATATCTATAGATTATAGATATATCTATATCTATATATCTATTCTGTCTGTCTATCTAGCTAGTTCCTAGATCCTAGTTTAAGAAACCCTGATCTAAATGCAACTTCACAAAGCATCTGTGAGATCATTGCGGTGAGGACTTCCCAGTGTGGGAATTCCTACTACCAATTGAGATAATAACTCAGCTATCACGCATCCTAAGGAGTTCCCTGAGTTTCAGAAGATTGAAATAACTTGCCAATGGTTATGTAGCTAAGGTAGGATTTGAATTCAGTTCTTTCTGAATCGAAACCCAATCACCTAAGTACTGTGCCATGTAGCTTCTAGTTTAAAAAAAAATTAGTCTAAACCTGTCATTTCATTCCTGATGTGGAAACTCCCTCGACTAAGTCAGAGTAACACCTGCTTTGCAATTTGGAGTCTACAGAGTTACCCAGGGCCCTCCTCCCCCCACCCCACCCCACCCCATCTAAGTTGAGTGACTTGCCCAAGGTCATAAAGCCAAGATGTCTATGAGACAGGACCTGAGGCCAAACCATCTTGATTCTAAGGCAGACTGTCTATCTATATGACCCTATATGTGTGTATAAGTAAATATATGCATATATATTGATTTTTAATTTTCTTTTTAAAATTAGGTCCAAAGAATCAAAAAAGCATGTCTACTGAGCAGGAAGGTTTCCTTCTTGTGGAAATTTGTGAAAAATCCTGAGAAACTGTTTCTAATACCTAGTTGTCAAAATGGATGATATTTCTTCCCACTTCTATGAATTATGTTGGGATTTAGAGAGTAAACTAAATGTCGGGGGGGAGGGGTTTGCCTGAAATATTGAATGAATCCATCATCTCTTTTCCTTTAAAAAAAAAAGCATAGCATTTTCTTTTCATACAAAATATTTCCTGTCAAATAAAAACTGAAAACTTAGCAAGTATTTTTTTAGCCATTATTTCAGAATTCATTCATACCATTGTAATTTCCTGGAAGTTTCTCAAATAAGTCACTGGGAAATTCCTTGAGTAGGACATGTGCAGGGAAAAGGAGATTGATGTGACTCATTGTAAATCTATCGACAGAAAGAGAACCCATGCTGATTACTCACGGGACAAGCTGTTAATATTTCATAGGTTACACAAAGACCTCTATCCAAAAGCCAGTGAATAGTCTCCTGGCTGTTGCAACTTCCCCTATGATTATGTGATCACTCAAAGGTTTCATTTCTTTCCTTAAAAAGGAACTGAGACTCACTCAAAAGAATTTTAAAAATTATCAAGAAAAGATACCCATCGAGAAATTCAATTTTGTTTAATTTGATGCTAGTCAAGTGGAAACTGATATGCCCTGTCATGAAAAGCCATCCAGAAACAGAGATAATAGCCATATGAATAACTGGTCAAAATCACCAATAGCAAGAGAAACGCAAATTGTATTTAGTTAAATAAATTAGAAAATGGAAAGTAGGGAAAAAAGTTGCCAAAAAAAACCACATTACAAATATACCAAGTGCAAATGTGAATGTACATAAACCTAAAAACAACTCTGAGGTTTCGCCTCACACCAAGAAACTTGTCAAAGATGACAAAAGCAGACTAATATGCTGTTGATTGAGCTGTAAATTGGTACTACCATTCTGAAATTTGGAATCATGCAGAAAAATCAGAGAGGGCTGGGGAGGAGGACTAATATTCATAACAGCACCTTTTGTGGCAGCAAAGAACTGGAAATAAGTGCATACCAATTGGTTGAACAAATAGCTCAATAATTTGTAATATGAGAATGTAATGAGGTATTATTAATTAGTAAGAAATTACAACAATGAAGAATTCAGAAAAACATAGGAAGGCGTATACACTTAAATGAGCAGAACCAGGAAAATATGTATAACGACTTCAATAATGTAAAGCAGAATAATACGGTAAAACTTGAAGTTGTACAACTATAAACACACACATATGTGCACACATGTGCACACGTGCAAATGTCTGAAGCATGACTACAGCATTTTAGGAAGAAATAGAACATATAGAGTGTCCCAAAAGCCTTGGTACAGATTTAAGTTTTTAAATAGCTTAAAACTGCACGAAGACTTTTGAGACATCTCATATACAATTTTTTTTAAGATGTTACAAATTTACTGGAACCTTGCTTTGACAGTGGCTTTACCATCTAAGTTGGGACCTTATTTTTGTTCTTCACAGAGTAGGATTTCAGATACAACGGGATCCTCTCATGTCCCCCCAAAGTGGGTTTTAGCTGGCTATGTTTCTGAATGAGCTTGTAGTCTGGCCAAATCAATTAATGTCGCTCTTTTCTCTCCTTCCATAACTAGTCCCACCTTTAAATTGGAGGATTTGGTCATATTAATCTACTCAGTCTGCTTATTGTTTTTGCTGTCTAGCTTCACCTATAGGTATTCTCAGAGCTGGGATCTCGAGAACTCTATCAACAACAGAAGTGAATCCTTGAATTTGAGGGTGAAGGAAAGGCTGCAGCTGTTAGCTGTGTTGGGCAGATTTGGGGTAGGGACCGTGCATTAAAGGTACCTAAGAGCCTAGATCTCAGAGGCCATTTTGTCCAAACCCTTCATTTGACAGGTGGGGAGAATTAGAAAACTTAGGTGACTTGAGCATGATCACATAATTAGTAAGGGTCCAAGAAGATGCTGAGAAATATCATTCCAAATGATGATCAAATAGATCTCCCTTCTCTAAGTATATGGAGGGAGTAGGCAATGGTTGCCAGATGTTTTATACACTGAAAGATGCAATCTCTTTCTTTTGGTTTTGTTTAACTATTTTACTTCATACACAGGAGGATATTGGGTATGGGAGCTAAAGGAGTATAATGTGAAGTTACTGATAAAAAAAAGGAGGGGGCATCAATAAAAATTAAGTTGTCAAAAGCAAATCTTAGACCCAGATATTCAAAGAAAAGTATTAGGCAAAATGACTTGGGAACCATGACCCAGTGCCTGGAGTATGGGTTGGCCAAGCAATGGTAGGCCTTTCAAATGGACTGTTTCTTGGTTCCTTACCACAACACGTGGGTACATCTTTTATGCAGATGCTTTGGGGAGAGCTGAGCCCACACAAGGACAACGTTATCATTGCAAGGCTCTGCTGTATCTGCAACAATTTGGGGGAACATCTTTTTCTACTTGACATTTTCAACTGTCTCCTATAAATGTTGTGGGAATACTTTAGACTTAGGATCAGAGGAATTCAAGTTGGACAGAATCATA